ACGCAGGAGAATGAACAAGAGAACAAAACAAAACATATGAGGAGTGTTTGCTACACTGCGTTTATGGCCAAAGACTCTCCAAAGGTTCAAGCTTCTCTTCATAACACTAAACCCACAGTGTTTTAGTGCATTCAAAGATAATTAGACATTTGTCCAGCTGCTATTAGAGACTTCCAATAGGTACACTCAAAGCCTAAAAGGTCTTCATTTATTTTAGAAAACATGTTTTTTGGAAATAAAAGAGTATCATACATATAGTCACATTCCTGGTATCAGACTGCAAAAACAAGTGCAATACACAAACAATATCAGTAGGTGTATTTCATAAGCACACTAAGATCACATTCTATGTAAGGCCAGTGCACAATCAGATTTCCTTGCAAAAAGGCCAAATGGGAAAAGACCTATTTAGATTCTGCTGAAAGTTTCAAAGCAGGATTCTCCAGTTGCTTCATGAACCTTTGATTCCACAGCACCATAACTCCCTGCAATTCATATATAGGAAATGCAGAGTGGAGCAACAGCCTAGAAGGAGGATTTTGTTTTATGTAGGGAGCAAAATTAAAACAGTGGCCCTAGGAGCATAAGTAGGGATGGGCAAGCAAAGCACTAGGTCTGGCTACTGATTTAAAGGGGACAGCTTGCAGGGAGCCCTCATTGCCTCTCGTGCTGCCACAGCAGTTTTCCCTATTCAGAGAGGCTGGGCCATGGCAGCAGCACCCTATACCACCTCAGCAGCTGCAGTATCCCCAGCACCAAGAGGTAAGTGCTTGTTACCCCTCCCTTCCTGCTTTTGGGACCCCCGCCCTGCCCAGGGTACCAACATTTCAAGTTATGCCTCTGAGTGGCCATCCCTGAAAGGAGAAGATTGTGATACTGCAAAATAAAAATGGTTCAAATATATTTACATGCAATTTTCCATGCTTTAAGAATGATCAGTAATGGAATACCTTGCCATTTTAAATTAAATTCCAAATGCAATGACTACTCATCAAAGCCACTGGACCTGAAGCTCTTCATTTGTATCATCTTTCTGACACACACAAGCTGATACATTAAACATGAAAACACGCTAGCGACCAGATATTCAGAAGAGGTCAACATCTAGCAGCTCCTACTGAAGTCTGCCCTTAATACATTGACTATCACCACTACATGTCACATACATCCTGTTTTATTGCACCTTACAATCTGCCTTTCCCAGGAACAAACACTGAACTCCCAAGACAACCATGACTTTAGTTCCTCCACAGTCATCATGTCCCCTCAATTCCTTTAGTTGAGAAGGAAACATATTGTTTTACCTTTGCCACTGCGCTTATAGGCTTTTGTGCTATCATATTCTAGTGTGCAGTAGCATTTCAGGGTGCAAAGCCCTGGCACAGGCCTCCAGTTATACAATACTATTTATGCCAGTAGTACTAGGTGGACAACTGCACCAAACTGAGCCAAACAGATATGATCCTTATACCTTGTCTTTCCTTCCTTTTTCCCACCAATGAAGATAGACACAGAAGGAAGAAAAACAGTCATGGGAAGAGAACACAGAGCGCCACTTTCTTCTATGGCTGAACAACTAACTTTATGAAAATGAGACAAACAAATTTAAAAAAACCCTGCAAAACCCAACATGACTTCTCCTCAAAGGTGGTCTCTCTCAGGCTGTTTCACTGAAGATAAGGCAGGGTAACACCTCACAGACTGATTCATGAATGACTCTTTCAATTTGTTAATCTCTACTAAGGTCCCACCCTGCCCTACCTTTTGCCTGACTTCAGACTACCATTGCTAACTGTCTGTTTCATATAATCATAGAGAAGCAGGGTTGGAAGGGACCTCTAAAGGTCATTTAGTCCAACCCCCTGCCTGAGATGCGATCATCTCTATCCAAATAATCTTATACAAATCCATAATCTAAATTTTTCATGCAACTACCATGAGCCATGACACAACACAGGACATAACACCCTAACCTGCCACAGGTGAAGCAGGGAAACCATAGCAGCCAACGTCCTGCTTCTATAAAAGTTTGTTAATATATGCTCAAGAGATCCCAGGTAGAGAGACACTCCCTGCTCCAGAGGAAGGCAAAAATCCCTGCAGTCGGTTGCTTCAAAGCCTCCGTTCAGAACCTTCCCTGGTGCTTCCTGCCTGGCTTCTGGCTCAGGATTGAATGAAAAAGCCCTATTAAGTACAAATATCCTCATGAGAAGTCCTTTCTTGTTTTTTCTTTGTCTTTTCCACTTACTCCGTCCAAGTTCTCCCCTTTCCCTTCTTCATGCCTCTCTCCTCATGACTTAAAAAGACAACCTAAATGTTCAGAAGTATGGAAATGTGCTGACCACCCCAAACAGGAATGAGAGAACAATCAACAAGCTTCAACAACTCTTAAACAATACTGAGTTCTGAGTTATATGAGCATGATAATGAGATGGCACATTAGCTGTTAGCAGTCTGAAAAAACCCCCCACTATAGGCAAAAGTGATTATTCTTTACCTCTTCCATTACAATCAATTAGTACTGTAAAGGACACTCCTGATATAGCTGGCAGCTAGATTAACTATAACAGTAACTGCTGGAATCAGATGACAGCAATCACCTTTACAACCCTGACCCATATCAGGTGACTAGGCCTCCAAACAAAGTCATGTTGCTGGTTCCTCATTCACTAATGTTACACAATGCAGTGATACAAAGGAAGGTTCACAAGAGGCTGCACTTTATTTCTTGACTTCAGTCACTTGACAGGGGTCAGATTGCAAAAGTGAATGCTCTAGTCACCTGACAGGGGTGAGCAAAGTTCCAGAAGACATGACCTACTTCTGCCTGGAAAAAGCATAGACTCTCCTTTTTCCCATTAGAGGGTCCTGGTGATTTTTTTTGGGCCTCTTCTGGAAATGGCTGCTTCTAAACTACTTGCCAAATGCGTAGGAGGCATTTACTCTAATGGTAATCAGCACACTACATCCTGTTCACAGTACTGCCCAGTAGGCACACACTAGCTATCAAGTGCATCCATCCTGCAAGATTGATGAATGCTCACAGGTGAGTAATGTGGAGAAGAGCAGGGCATAGCATATGGGGAAATAATAGCTGATGAGAGTGCTGTGCCCATATTTAGGATCTCTGTGGGAAAATTACAAAAAAAAAGATAAAAAATTTCCAGGAGTAGTTTGTAGAAATTTGACCTCTAGAAATTTTAGGAGCTGATGGCCAGGAATTTCAGAAGTGACTAATGATTTGTGGCTGCTCAGCTTGAGACAACTAGAAAATGCTGAGCAGTGATCCTCTCCAAATCTTGGCTGTGGCTCAGAAGTGCCTACACTTTTTCTGTGGTACTCCCAGGAGCACTGCTGTCAAGCATCCCCTGTCCACCAGCTCCTGCTCCTCATCTGCCAAACCTAGAAATAAAATATAAAGTCACCCTGAGGGTGCCTCTCTTCTGCTGCTCTATGGAGACAGAGATCTTGCAAGTGGAGAAAGAGTTTGGAAAACTGAAAAGGAAGTGGATGTGGTAAACCTTGAGAGTCTAAAGAAGGGCCACCTGCATGATCAGAGACTTGCGCAGCAAGCCATATGAGGCAAGGCGGAGGGATCTGGGACTCTTCAGCTTGAGGAAAAGAAGGCTGAGAGGGGACCTGGTAGCAGCTTACCACTACATCAGAGGTGTACATCAAGGGCTCTGAGCAACTGTTCACCAGAGCACCCTTGGGGAAAACCAGGAGTAATGGCCACAACCTCCTGGAAGACCATTTCAGGCTCAACATTAGGAAAAACTACTTCACAACTATGGTGTCCAGACTGTGGAATAAGCTCCCTCCAGAGGTGGTGCAATCACCTACCCTGGAAATTTTCAAGACTGGACGGTCACCCTGCAGAGGTCGCCTGACCCCAGGTGTCTTTCCTGCTTGTTGTAGGGGGCTGGACCTGATGATCTTCTGAGGTCCCTTCCAGCCTTACAATCTGTATATCTATGAAATTTTAAAATAATTATCAGAACACAGAGGCAGTCTTTATAATCTCACTTAATGAAGACGTTCAGCCTCAGCAAGCGGAGGCTGAGGGGGGATTTGGTGGCTGTCTACAAACTCATTAGGGGAGATCAGCAGCAAATAGGAAGGGTCCTATTCCCCCAGCAGCACCTGGGGTGACAGGGAACAATGGCCAGAAGCTGCTGGAGAATAGGTTCAGGTTAGAGATTAGGAGGCACTATTTCACTGTTAGGGTGGCTAGGATCTGGAACCAACTGCCTAAGGAAGTGGTCCTCGCTCCTACCTTGGGTAAATTAAAAAAGAAGTTGGACTAACACCTGTCTGGGGTTGTGTGATCCCAGTGTGTGCTCCTGCCGGGGGGGGGTCAGACTAGATGATCTGTTCAGGTCCCTTCTGACCCCAAACTACTATGAAACTATGAAGACGTATCCCTCCATTTTCTACAAAAAAAATATAGCAGGGTGTTGCTACTGCATAAAGCATCACAAAACCTGCATTTTAAGTTTTAGGCTACTGAGTTGAAAAGTAAAAATCTATAAAATATCAGGAAATGGCTAAAGCAGGTAGCACTTTCTTGAAAGCTAAAGGCCTTGTACTCATTAGATACCTAGCACCTGTGGTGGCCAGCAACAGACACCATGGCAGGGTTGATTATTTAATAATTGGAAGAGATGCTTTTCACTCATACAAAGAGCTGCATGTGAAGAAGCTGGCCACATTTATTTGAAATTAGGCTGTCAGGATAAAAAGGGCACTAAACAGTTACTCTCATGCATAGACTCAAGGACAAGAAAGTGGTGACCGTTGATGCTGTTCTTGCACAATTGCTCTTTGCAGTGGGTGGAGAGAGAAAATCCTCCCGTTCTCGTGATGATAAATGCCTTCGCTGCTGTTATAAATGTGAGGAATCTGTTCTCAGCCAGTGAGAGGTGTGCTAGTCAGTGATCCAAGACGAAGAACCTGTCCCATTTTGGTGCGATCCCTCAAAGGTAAAGGTGTACGTCTGGATGAGCGTCAAACCAAAGATGTCACTTGGAATCATTGGGGCTCCTTTTTCGAAGGGACAGGTAATGAGCATCTCCAGCTTTTCCCAAATACTATTGCCCCTGACCTTCATCCCAGGCTTTTATCTGTCTCCCTCTCTTTGTCAGAAGAAGAGGGCATAATATAGACCATGGAATGAGCTCTGCTTCTAGCTCTTCAGCACAAGGGCTGCTTTCCAAAAGATGGAGTTAAATTCTGTTTAGTAGCTTGAGCTGCTGAAGTCCAGGAGAATTGTCTTCCTCTCTCCTCCTCCCTTTGTAGTTTTGCAGAGCTCACAAGCTGCTTATTCATATCATACACTTGTCACAAATTCAGTCCTCAGTGAGGAACAGGGCCTTTATTGGCTTGAGAACAAAGGTTTAAGAATAATTACAAGCTCTCCACTAGAAACCCAACCTCTGTGAACATATAATGTGGGAGTTTTACTAACCTGGGTGACATCCTGTAAAGTGGAGCTCTAGGTAAACATCTGCTTGAGTGTGCAGAAATCAATACAGTCCTCTTCATTTAAATAATTAGACGCAACATGCTCAGTGCCGCTGATGGGATCATCTTCAGTCCCTATGACCCTCCCACCCTCTTCCATCCTGTATGTCAGAATTTGTTTCTGAGCACTTTGCTCAGACTTTTTGTCAGCTACTCATTTAGTTACGTAGTTACAGAGGGGCTTTGATGTGTAGGCTGTTGGGTTTTTGGGTTGTTTTTTGTTTTGTTTTACACTGTTAAAATTCATGGGCCAGGCACAGAAGAAATACACTATACAAAAACATACGGATATGATTGAGCTTGTCAACTTATGTGATATAATGCTCTTCGTTAAAATATAATAACCAATGCACTTACAAGAATTAAAACCAGACATGAGGTACCCATCAGAGACGGACAGAAAATGGGCATTTTTTTCCTTTCCCCAACAGAAAATACTGAGTTTTTAGTGGAATATGGAAATGTTTCAGTCCTGAAATCATCCTGTTTCTAGCCTCCTCCATAAGCCAGGGCCCTTGGTTACTAAAGTTTTCATAATTGTACCCATTGTTTGCCCCTCCCTGAGGAGGTGGCAACTGGGACTGTCATATGGCTGGAGTGCATCAGGAGAAGTGAAGTCCAGGTGGGACAGCAGGGCCCTAGAGAAGAGGAATGCAAAGCATCAAAACTCTGACTTCTATGAGGCAACAAGGAAACATTTTAGGATACAAATAGTTTGGGAAAACCTCTCTTTTTGTGGGGAAAGAAAAAGCAGCTTCCTTAGTCAAAAATCCATTTTTTTCCACCAAAACAATTTTGTTTAGACTCAATACATTGAGCTATGCCTCCTACCTCATTCTGCTTTAGGCAGCCCAGTGGCAAAGCCGGCCATAGTTTAGGTGTCATTTCTTCTAGTCTGTAAGATATATTTAGAAAAGCAACTGTAAGTCTCTTTATTGGTGCTGAGTGTTAGCATTTCTAGGTAGAGCCAATAGAAGCTGTGAGTGCCCAGCTCTTCTGAAAAAAACCCAAATGCCCAAGGGCAAACTTACCATATAACTCCAATGATAATTTTCCCAAGCAAAGCAAAGCAAAGCAAAGCAAAGCCCACCAAAATAATTTAAAGTTGCAGATTTTTCAGAACCACAGCAGCATGGCTTCCAGCCCCTTTTTAGTTCAGCAAGCAGCATGACTTTTTTTGCTGTCACCAAATTCAGCTATATTTTAGAAACAACCCTACACACACATTTAAGACGACAGATTTTCTTTTCAGCCTGCCATGTACTTGGCTCTTGTCATCAGCCTATTCTTCAAGTTTCCAAATGGCCTTTAAAAAGGGGCACCTGAGGATAAGGGTATGACTTGAAGTCACTACAATGACTATTATTCGCTTCTCATGTCTATGCCTAAGGAAACATGCCAGTTTAATCTGGTTAAGAGTTATTCCATTTCTGCAGTCTATTTCTAGGTAAATGCACCATTAATATTGCAAAGTATATCTAGACGGGTAGATACACATAAAACACTGCTTTCTGGCTACGTTTGACTGCAGGTATTTTACTAGGCCTGCTTTTTAGTCCTGTTTGTTAGCTTGCAACATTGTGATATAAATAGAGTTGCAGCCCCTTGGGTCTGAGATCCTTGAGAGAAGGTGCATAAAAATAATAGGATAGATTTTCAAAAGAGCTCAGTACTGAGAGTGTTAACCTCTTTCCAAAATGAGACTACCACTCAGGGGGCTGAGCACTTTTGAATGTAGCTAGATCCAAACAAAGTGTGCTTACAATGATCTTGGAAAAATGTGTGTATAGCTTTTCCACCATCCCCCTACTCCACTCCTAGGAGGTGGGTCAGTAGAGCAGGCAGCTTGTGAGAGGGGTTTTCGCCTCGGGCAATACCAAAATGGTACACCCTCCAGCACCCCTTCCTACCGTTTGAAATGATTTTTTTTCCCCAGGGGGTTACCACTTCTTTCAGAGCAGTATATTTTAAGCATTGCAGCTAAATGCATTCCTACATATGAAACAAAACAAAACAACAGAGAAGCAAGAAATCAAAGGCGGGCGCGGGGGGGGCAGAAGGGGGATCCTGCTACTGCAAGACTGAGAATGAGATTCCTGACTTTTGCACATTTAGACACATTTCAAAGAGTTGTAAACTGTAAAGAGGACTGTTGATGCTCAGGACCCTTTGGGTTACTTAGGAGCCTAACCTTAGGCTGGAAAGTAGTGACCTTAGTTCTTGCGGCAATACCATCTCAGCTACGCTTATGAGGAAAAAGACAAGAATACATAAGGGTACACACAGGAGTTGCACTTAGATTGACCTAACCAGGGTAGATCAATGTAAATGCCCAATTGTACAGGTGTGCAGAAAGCTTAAATTGCCCCCAAATGGCATGATAATCTAAGTTAATTTGCTTGAGTGGGTTACTTACACTGGGCTCTCTGCTCAGCTCCCAGTAGTAAGTAAAGTAAGCTGCATGGACGTAGACCAGGTATGGTGAACGATTGTATACACCCTAAGTTGATATTAATATTATGTTCATTAAGAAGGATCAAATTCTAGCTTTGAAGCCCTAAGTGAAAATCTTCTGTCATGTAAAGTCAACCACTTCTCCCAAACCATCGATCCTTCTCCACTTATATTTAAACAGTCATTTTCACAGAGAAGATGCAACTCCTGTTGGGCTCCTGGAGGGTCTATTTAACTGGGAGTTGAAAAGAAAATCAGTACAACCTGACCTAGTTCAAAAGAACGTTCTCTTCAGACAGAGCTAACGTCAGACTTGTGGGGCCTCTTCCTCCTCCCAGCTACATATTTAAGGACTTGTATTAATTTAGTCTAGGATGGTCCTCCATGGCCTGGAGCATTAAACAATTGCTCTGCTTGCCCACTCCTAATACTGTGTTTTTAGAAGCATCTTGCTGCACTTGGCGTAGGCTATATCTGAGCATGAGTGGGTTAGCTGTATCCAGAATGAAGGAAAATCTATAGTATTTTTATTAATTTAACCAGCCTTGCAAACACTGTCTCTATATGTGCAATGTGCTCCTTTCATCTCTTTTTTTCTTTCTCATTCTATTTGCCAAATTATATCCTAGAGGGCATTTAAGGACACCACACAAACTAACCACTTGCACACTGCTCACAAAAAGACTTGAAATAGTAAGAAAAAAAATCAAGCTACTCCCTTTCCTGACTTTCCTATGGTCTTGTGCTTCTCTCTCTGTCTCCCTTTTGTGTTAGAAACCTTTTACTGCAATGATCAGCTTATTCTGTGTCTAGTTGGCACAGTGCAGGTTCTCAGTGCCTCATATTTATGCTGTGCCTCAGGTACGGCAGCTACAGGAATCACCTCTAAATTTTTGGGGTCTAGTAAAATTTCACAGATATGGCAATGTTGTCATTTCACACTGAATTTACTATTTAGATTTATATAACTTTCAGCAGAGATTTAGGTCTTTACTTCACTATATATAATGTTGCTTGTAGAAACAAAATGTTGGAAAAATGTAGTTTAGGCAAGTTTTCATAACTAACAGGCTCATTATGTTAGTTTGAAATAGGACCTGTGTAAATCTCTGATCTTAGTACAAAGACATCACAGGAGGATCGTAAAACTGTTCTATGCTTGCATATTTTTCATCATCCTTAGCCTGTAGATATTTGTTCATAAGAGTATTTAGAGCTTTTATTTATGTTCTGCATTTTAAACAATAGTTGTAAGCTAGCCAACTAGATTATTTACTCTCATTTCTAAGAACTGTGCCTTCTGTCTCTGGGTGAACACTTAAAATTAAGCAATAAAGTACAATAAGGTGGGTGTTACAAGAGCATCTTGTTTGTGCATGCACACACAAGAGTTTGGGTTCTCAGGTGCATTATGAGATGTTCAGACGTCCAAGAAGTGTTGTGTGAATATGTAAGTGATATAGGAATGCTTAAGTTAAAAAAAAACTCAGAAGGTAAAGCAGAAGCTCCCGTTTGTCCTCATTCACAGTGCCTGAAAGCTTGGGATACTCAAATAGTTACAGAGCAACATAAAATTAAAATTAAAATTGAACAAATGTTTTCTTTTCAAATAAGTCCTAAATGGACCTCCTTGCCCCAACCTGGCACTAAGAACAAGATATCTGTGAGATGTAGAAATGGATTAGTCATTTAAAATGATAACAAAAAGTCAGACAGCTGTACTAGACAGAATAATTTGTATACATGACATAAGCTTTCCTGTTTCATGCCATAAATGATACCCCGATGGGGTCCCATACAGGCTATTATTTTATACTAGTCTTTTAGAAGCAGTGGTACTGGTAAAGATGGGATACTGGAGCCCTGGAATGTTTCATTGTGGTAGTAGCGTCTATGTTTCAACTGTGACATTATTTGCAGAGAGTAGACTATGTCTATTTAATGTTAAATTCCTGCAAAAATTCTAACAAACACTACTGGGGGGAGAGGCAGGGGCAGGGAAGGGATCATGGCTCGAACCTGCAGTGTGGGACTTGGAGTTTGGCAGCAGGGAAGGGTGGCAGTATTAGCTGGCACTGCTCCCACACTGCCAAACTTCCTGACCTGTATGGAGCCCTCTGGGTTGGATGTCATGGCTTCATGAGCTGAATTTGTTCCATGAGCTGAAGGTTGAGCATCCCTGATTTAGACTGTAAACTTTTTAGAGCAGGAACTGTCTCCTGTCAGCTATCTATACAAAACCTAATACAACAGATAGATGGTCCAGCAGTTAGGACGTAAGTTCAGAACCTGACAACATCAAGTTCAAGTCCCTGCTCTACCACGTACTTCCAATGTAACCCTGGGCAAGTCTTAGTCTATTGGTTCCTTGTATGTGGGATGGGGATAGTAGCACCCCCATCCCGTACTGAGGTGTTGTAAGGGTAAATGAATGAAAGACTGAGCTATTCAGATACTACAGTAGTGTGTATGTGTACGTTATGGGGAAGGCATAGAGGTACCTGCTGAAAATCTTGTTGGGATCTCCGAATGCTACTGTTACTTTAATAAAATATATTTAGTTGCATAGATCCTTGAGAACCCTCCCTTGAATCCTGCCGTCTCACATGTCTTCATATGTTCCCTAATTAACACATTCAGCTTTCATTTTGATCACTCAATTAATCCTAGTTTCAAGTCAAAACAACTGCTCACAGGAGTAAAGACCATTAACATGATCACATCTTACCTCTAGGGAGCCAAGCTGCCAATTTGTTTCTAGGGGCTGGACAGCCATGAAATGCTGCTGAGAGGACATCCCTTAGTCCAATTCATGGGAAGCCAGTTAACTCTGCTTTGGTTTCTTGGCCATCATCGGTCTCTTTTCCCTGTGAGGGTAAGCCATGAACTTCAAAGGCAGCCGGTCTGCTTTAAAATGTTCCTTGTACTTCAAGTACAGATTTGGGAGCATTCAGACCATCTCTATTTCAACATTTTAATTAAAAGTTCAAAGTATGAGGCAGCCCAGTGACAGTTCAGCTTTGTAGCTGGGTTAGAAGAGAAATGCAATTTTCCTCTTGAAGCTGGACCACTTCAGGGGAAGTGGGAGACAAACTTAAAAGGAAACCAAGGAATCCCTCCTCCAACCCTGCTGCCAAGTTTCCTAGCTGGCTGGGCCTCTAGGAATTACCACTCTTGAGGAAATATGTAAAGGAGCCAACTTACCTTTAAAGCAACTGGGCATTAAAATGAATGAGAGCTCTGCATGTGTCTAGTCATATGGACTGGACCTGGTCCAATGGCTGCTTTCTGTGGAGCACATCAAAGAAGTCAGAGGAAGTTGCGTGCCCAGAGCTGTGTGCATAGACTCTTGCCAGCTACAGTGTGTTCCCCCATTAAATCTTATAAAGCAACAGTCTGAGAAGCTTTCTAATTTCACGACCGTTCACAAGATCTACAATCACTATGAAATAATTACCAAAAATGATGCTGTGGTGTTGAAAATGAGATGATCATTTTTACTAATGAGGCAAGCCTGATAAAAGATGTGCTCCAGTTGTTCCATGTTATTAACATCTCCTATGCTCAGAGCTGTTTTTTCTTCCATGTATCCATGACATAGGCTTTCAGGCATTTTGTACAGAACAGAACACATACAATAGGAGAATATTTTCTTTTCTTTGAAATGACTCGAGGTACCTTTGTAAGAATCCCTAGGTGGCTGGATGTGAAAGTGGACCATTTTATTCACTGATAGAACTAGTAGCTGTCTGTTCAAACCAGATGGAGACTTTCTACTGAGCTGAAAATTAGAATAGAGTTCCTACAGCATGAGAATAACATTTTTCTTCTTCTTTCAGAATAAATTCTGCTTTATACCTATACAATACTTTCAGAGGCTGAATTAAGCCTCGTTAAAACTGATAGTTTTAACTGCTGCCTTTTCTTTACAAAGTTAAACAGCAGCATTCTCCAAACCCTGCCAAAAGCAAATATGTACCTTTGTCCAAAATAAAGAGGATAGGTAAGTTTGCTCAAGAATTCAAAAAATCTGGGGAAGGAAATAAAGTGTGTTGATGGCTCTAGCTAAAGTAAGAAACAGGTCAGGAGAAGAAACAAGCAGAAGCACCACAGAAGCAAAGAAGTAAGCTCCAGCACAGCCTGAACAAGCATAGCATGTGATCCTGAGAGAGTCCTGGTGAGAGAGCTTTTGGGCTGGCTGATGGTAGCAAGAGTCTGGGTGCTGAGAACAAGGAAAACGTGTCTCTGGCTTGTCTGAGTTGTCCTTTGTTTAGGAAAATGACCGTTCACATTCTTGTAAACGAAGAGAAGAATGTCGACAGTACCTGGCTCCTTCTTCAATTTCTCTTTTTCACTGAAATCACCTGCAAGATTGAATTTTTGACCATCTACTCTGGTCAAAAGAATTAATAAGGGTCTTTTTTTTTTTAAGGTCTGGGGAGTTGCTCTTTTAAGCTCTGGGACTCTCAAAGATAGCAATTTAATTTTGTGATGATTTCTATACTCACTAGAGCACCAATCCTGCAGTTAGATCTTCTGTGCATGGACCTCTGCAAAGTTAAACCCCAGTTAGCACCCCCAGTTAAACCTGTACATCAGACCCCTTGCAGAATCTAGTTACATGTAAGGGCGCTTTGCACTGATCAGCTTTCAGGGTTGAGGCTTAAATACATTTCCTGCATAGATCTTTGTGACTTGTCATCTCATAGTACCTACTTCAGAAAATCAGATATGAGCTACCTGATTTGCTTTACTTTCTAATCAAGTATTTTAGGGCAGCAAATTTATACATAGTCCCCTGTTTAAATCTGAGTTATGCTGTAACCAGGTTTGTTTCTGATTTAGCTGTCTAGAACTGAGCTGCTGAATTTAACATTGCATTTGTTATTAATAGGTACAGAAAGGAGTGGAAGAAGGGCCAGCAGTGATGAGGGAAGCTGGCTTGATTGACAAACTAATAGCACAAGGTACTTATCAAAAGGAATACAATGGAGAATGGCGAAGGATGCTATTTTAATTTGTAAGCGTACCAATAATTTGCTTAGAAATTAGCATCTTCAATTTTAAAAAAATCATTAAACAAAAATATGCCCATATGTTTCTGATTTTGCATAGAACTACCCAAATCCAAGAATCTGTGAGATTTTTTTTTTTTGGCCTTTTTTTTTTCAGCCCCCCACCCCCAGAAAATGACTAAATATCAGGGTTGGGGGAGGTGGTGCACAGCAGGTAGCTAGAGTGCCTGCAGGTTTGTACAATATTTCAGTTCCTGGCCAGTGAGAATGTTAGCTTTCTGTTGATGGTGTGTTGAGTAGGGTATTTCCATAGGCTGTGAGAGTACCATCATTACAAGGCTACAGTCATGCTCCTGCTGGCTCTCTCTCACCCAGTGAATCTTGAATTCTTTTAGCAGCTATTTCCTAAGCTACAGCAGGAGAGTTGGAGAGTGTGATTTTGGCCCAGAATGATTTGCAGGCTGATGTTTAGGGGACTCTCCTGGGAGGAGTACATTTGACCCCACTCAGACTGAGAAAGGAATTGAACCCAGAACTACCATATCCCATTAGGTTAATGTATAAAAATGAGGAAGGTCACCTCTCCACTAGTACTTCCTCCCAGGCTTTACAAAAGAGCAGATCTTCCATTTCTGAAAAGGGACAATTTAGGTACCTACTTGTACAAGAGGGCTCTGTGCAATGAATCTTATTGCCTAAGCCCCTGAAGGACTAGATTTGAGATGCATCCCTTCCTTGAGTATTTCTTACTGGCTAGTCAATGTAGAAAGGTCCTAAACTGTTGAGCATTCTGGTTGTTTTAATCCCAGTCTGAGGCAGCTAATTCTCCCCCTTGAACAGGGAGTTTAGATGCCCAACTGAGAGCTGTGGCTCCTCCAGTGGGGTTCAGGCACCTAAAGCTTAGGTGATGTTCAACATTGCAGCACAACACTCAACTCCCTTTGTGGATGTGGCCCTGAATGACTGACTTGAGGCCTTTCTGTGGCAGAGCATCTGTGTCTGTTAACACCCAGACCACTGACCAGTCCTTCCTCTGAAAGAACTAGGATTATTTAATTTTGGAGAAGAGATGACTGAGGGCAGATTTGGTAAGAGTTTCCAAATACCTGAAGGATGATTACAGAGAAGATGGAGGAGTGATCAAAGAGGACAGAACTAGGAACAATGGCCTCAAGCTTCAACAGGGAAAAGTTAGGTTGGGGATTAGAAGGAATTTTCTGGCTATGTGGGTGGTCAAACATTGGACCAGATTACTAAGAGAAATTGTGGAATCTCCATCCTTTGAAGTTTTTAGTAGCAGATTTGACAGACACTTGACTGGGATGGTTAAATCAGGGATGATCCTTTTGAGCACAAGGCTCGTCTAGACCTTTTGAGATCCCTTACAGCCCTGCTTTCCTATGATCCTAAGGTAGCAGCCAGGATAAGAACTTCTCTCATCTTCCCTACTTGACCATCTCATAGATATTTATTTAGGGGGTGGAAATTTGTTTCAGCCCCAGATATTTTAGGATGATCCTGACTTATCTGTAAAATGAGAGTCTGAAAAAAGTAAAGTTAAAAATTAATATGCAGGCAAAATGACATTACACATATCTAAGCATAAAATTGCTTTATGAAAGAAATGCTGTTTACACCATATTACTAGCTGTGGAATATTGCATAGGAAATGTTATAATGTGACACTATTTACTTGTCATTGTTAACATTCTCTTCTGCCATGCTAACTACAGGGTATGACATCAAGGATTATGGAGACCTGATGTTTGATGATGTTCCCGATGATGGTCCATGTCACAATGTGAAAAATCCCAGATCTGTTGGGAAGGCTAAAGAGAAGCTAGCAAATACTGTGGCAGAAGTGAAGAAAAGTGGAAGAACCTGTCTGATACTTGGTGGGGATCACAGGTTGTTTATTAGACAATATTTCTACAAAAGCATGAATGGTTTCCAGCACAGTACAAGCTCCCTACTGAACAGCCTGCTTGATTTTAGTTAAGTCCGTACAGTGTGGCTTCAAGCCTAGCTGTCTGTTAAACTAGGTCAACAACTTTCCATACAGCAAACGCTCTTTAAGACAACTGGGAGATAAAAGTTCAGCCATGCAGATAAGGCTGTCTCCTGTCCAGTTGTATTTACATTTACAAACTTACAGAGGATGCTTTACTCCATCATTGATAAACCTTGGAGCTTTGTAGAGATTTGGGACTGTCCTATGAATGCTTACATATTGCATAACTTTATAAACTGCAAGTATTCCCAAGGAGGACAAAGTAGGTTGTTACTGGTTCACCTCAGGCATCAAAACTTTGAACCAATCACATACATAACTTCAAGAAAGTGAGGGATCTCCTTAAGTGCTATATGTTTGTAAGTAAACCAAAAGAAAATGGCATTTCCCATTCCAGAATTTTATCCTTGGGGAATATTTATAACGTTACAAAAAGCTTTGTCATTTTGATCCATAACAGAAAGTATGCACCTGCGCTCCATTGCTTATCTCTTGTGTTTATACCCATCTCTGCTTATGCAGTTTGGCGATAGGAACCATCTCGGGGCATGCAAAAGTTCACCCAGATCTTGGTTTAGTTTGGTTTGATGCCCACACTGACATTAACACACCACTAACATCTCCAAGCGGGAATCTGCATGGGCAGCCCATGGCTTTCCTCATAAAGGAACTGAAGGACAAGGTAATGCAATCATCACAAACTCTTTATATTGGGATCTCATCACAAGTGCGTAGGATGGGTCAAGACCACCCTCTACTCTCCCTGACCACCATTGTTACATTTAGAAACTGCCTACCTATTTCTTCATAAATGCAGAACTTGGGCTCCCTAACCAGACCACCCTCGCTTCTGTATGCAAAAGAAGGACAAGAAGCCTCCGTGTCCCTACACTAAACCCTCCAGCTGGGACTATGAGCATCCCCTAGCCTCAAGCAAGTTTCTCTCTGGCACTACTTTTTCTTTTCAGCCTCATCTCAACACTTCTGACTGTTGTACAGTCATAAATCAGGGGTTTTCAAGTAGTCAGGGCTTTGAGTAAAAAAACAAAAGTCACATGAATAATTGCATTGAACCGAAGCTTGGTTTGCACCTTTTTGCACAAAACTGGATTCTGTTCTGTAATGGAGTGAAAAATGAAACCTGTTCTTTTGAGCTTCTTAGGTGCCTGATGTTCCAGGATTCTCATGGGTAACTCCTTGCCTGTCTGCTAAGGATATTGTATATATTGGCCTGAGAGATGTGGACCCTGGTGAACAGTGAGTCTAGTTTCACCTTCTGATGCCCAACCTGTTCTTTCAGTACTGTCCCCCTTATCTCCTAGACATCCCAGCTCTTACTTGCCTCTTTCCTTCCTTTTCCTCCTCAAATCACCTGGCTCTTCTGTTCTGACATCTGCTGCTGCAATGGGAAAAAAAAGGTCTTCAAGCAACTGCTCCTGCTTTTCTGATATTTCCCTCATATCCTCCCTGTATGTCTAAACCAGCACTTGTATGAATACACTGATTTCATACATCTATTACAAAAGAATTAAAAAACAAGCTTAAGCACACAGACAGATTTTTAGGCATCATTTTGACTTAATGCAGCCAAACCCCAAACCATTAGATACAAATGTCAAACTTAGCTGATATAGATCTAAGGTACTAAATATCCCCTTAAGCACTTAAAAAATTAAGCCCTTGACTACAAAGTGAATATGTATCCCCCTGCCCCAATAACTCCCTCATCATAATTTGTAAGCAGAATAAAAATGTAAGATTACTTAAAATATTTGCACTTAGCTTTCTGATAAAAGGTAAACATTTAAGGACAATATACATTTATTCAATGTCAAAAAGCAATTTAAATTTACTTAGTCTTTTGTATGTCTTTCAGCTGCGTTGTGAAATCTCTGGGCATTAAGTGCTATTCGATGAGTGAAGTAGATAAACTTGGGATTGGGAAGGTGATGGAGGAAACACTTAGCTATTTGCTAGCCAAGTAAGTAAACAGAATGTATAATTTATTAGTGAGGGTAAAAATTACATTACCCATTTGCAGAAGTGATTGGGGATGACACCAGTGAGCTCCAGGGATGTAGCATGAATAATGGTAGAATAAACTTGTTTCAGGACAGCAGGAGGAGAAGTCTGCAATATGTATGAGTAATAGGACTACTGGATATTAGAATACAGCTCAGTCAAATACTTAAACACAAGTCAGACACTGTTTGTATCTACTGACAATAATCTGAACACAAGTCAGACAGTTTTTCTGCCTTGACAGTTATGAACTTGTTAATATTATTGGCTTTATCACCTGAGGTCCTTTTAAAACTCTTTTGATTTGTGCACACTTAAAACACGTCGTGTTTGTTGTGATTATATTTAAATTGTTTTATCTTTAAAATATTCTAGCCAGAGGGACAGACCCAATAAGTGCTCCCCATCTCTACTTTCCTACAGCCCTGATGCACATACCAGATGTTTTACAATCACTTCTCAAAAGTAGACAAATGTTGCATAAAATTATCAATCTTTTTTTTTGTTGCACCATGATGGCATCCAGAACCCTACATTTTATAACTTCTGTGCCACATGTAGATATTTTCCAAGTAGGGCACAAGAAACTTATATGGAGAGGTTTTAAGTTTTTCTAATCTGTAAAGAACATTTTCAGAGAACCACTTCAAAGTTTCCTGAACATAGATGTTCTAACTCTGTTTTCTTGTTCCCCACCAAGTAAGAAGAGACCAATTCACTTAGGCTTTGATGTTGATGGCTTGGATCCCTCTCTGACACCAGCTACAGGCACCCCTGTTCCTGAAGGAATGACTTTTAGGGAGGGCATGTATATGACAGAAGACCTTTATAAAACAGGTACCATTTCACACCTGAATAAGCATCCAGATTTATCTTCAACATTCAGAATTTCAGCCCCCCACAGCTTGAGCTCATCTTTCCTAGGGTGCACAGGTAACACCAACTCACAACTGAACACTTTGGGAACACTGACCAGTTACAGCAAAGAACAGAGAGGCCTTGCAAATAGCACGTGTATCATGCACATTCACAGAGGAAAGCACAATAGAATTAGAGGAAGCAAAAAAAAAAAAAAAAAAAAAGAAAAAGAAAATCCCACAGACAGCTGCATGCAAAATCCCCACTTTCAGATTCCTCACCTCTCTAAATCCCTTGTGGGCTTTGGTTGCTCCTTTCCAGGTCCCAAGACCCATTACTTCTTTTCCTCAAACTTGCCTTCTTATTCTGGTTGGCAAGACAGCGATTAGAGCAAGCTATGACTGTCATCACTTCTAGAGCCCTCTGTTATGTGATGCTTCTGACGAGCCTCTCTGCTCCACTCAAGTGATCAGTCTCCCTTTGATGAACCATTGCTTGGTTAGTGCCCTTGCCAGCAAGCTGAAACATTGGCTTCTTGCAGCTGTGACTTTACCAGTGGCGAAAGCGGCTTCTGAGCCGTTAGGAACCAAGCAAGTTGGCACAAGTTATAGTAGTCCTTAAATGAAAACGATGGAGTCATAACTGGCTCCCTAACACCAGCACTTTGGCATCCAGCAGGGGAGCAGAGAAGAAAAACCCTAACCCTAAGTATCTTGCCCTAGAGCAGAAATTGTTCAGTACTAGTTGCGGTGCCTTAGGATGCAGACAAGTTACTGTGGAAATGTTTCCAGGCGAGATACACTTGGGAGCATATTAAAAAGAATTATTTCAGCTAGGGGGCACATGTCTGTTTCAAAAAGCGGCAGGAGTCTGTGGATCTGTTTCCCCCTTCCTCCACAGAGAGACAGTGGAAGGGAAGGGAGAGCACAGAGCACTACAGTGAAGAGGTAAGGAGTGAGGGGGAATCCTAGGATCCCACTTCTCCCATTTGGGATACTGCCAGAATCCCAACTCTTCAGCTCCAAATCCCCCAAACCTTTCCTCTTAGAGGTAGAGAGGCTTGGAGCTGGAAGGCCCTGACTCTTGCAGTGGCCCCAGGATTTGGCAGGGGGGAAGGAAGTCTGGTTCTGACTCTGGCTCCAGCCCAGCTCTGGAAGCAGTGGATCTGGTGGAGGGATGGGGTGGGTGTCTCAGCAGAAAACTAGCAGCATCCTGGGACCTGGTAGCTGGACAGCAGCAGGCTCTCCCTTCATGTTCTTGTGCACAAGTAACAAAATAAAAAGGTCCAAAGTAGCACTTCATTGAAGGAGGTACTATTTTGGAGCACTTTGACCACTTTGGTAATGTTTCAAAAGACATATATGTTTATGCAGGTGGCCTTCTGAAACATTCCAGTTGTTACTTCTGTTTGTACTCTTAGTTTAACAAAGTCAGTAGAAAGGGGAAAAATGCACGTTACCTTGGAACTCTTACAGCGCTGACTTTGGAATTCCTCACATTGAAAAGAAAGTTATGAATCAAATTAAATTTTCTGAGTAAAACTTTTATTAAAATTACAGGATTGCTCTCAGCAGTAGATATGATGGAGATCAATCCATCTTGTGGGAAGGCACAGGAAGAAGTTAATTCAACAGTGAACACAGCTGTTGCTATGATCTTGTCCTGTTTTGGAGCAATGCGAGAAGGCTCTCATAGTTCCAGTTACTCTATTCCCCAGCCACAGACATTCTTCTGAACTGTCTCAATTATATTCTATTGTGTTTCTTAGTATTAAAATACAGTATGCCATTAATGGCAGTTACTTCTTTTTATGGACAACTTTGATGACCTGAAGCATGAAATAAGTCTCTCTTTGTACCCCAAACAATGAGATGCTAATAAAGCCTGGAAATGTTAGGCAACAGAGGTGATCACATAGAATTTGTCATACAAACAGTACGTGTCCAGTCAAACCATTTATATACTATGGTTGTAAATCACATGTTCATTTTACTGGTCCTTCTCTTAGTTACTTCCTTATAAAACTCTTTGTATCATTAAAAAAATGGGAATGTATGTTTAAGCACTGAACAGTTTTCTTTGGTCATGAATACAATTGCTTGAAAAAAATTGAAAACTATTAGCACTAAAGAAACCTTCAGCAAACTTCCACGTGTCCAAACACACAATGCTGTAAGCAAAAATGGAAACATGAAAAGATACGCAAGCATTTTTGTGGGTGGTATCTTTTACTGGACCAGCTGCATAGTTGGCAGAAATTCAGACAAACTTTCAGATATCACAGGTATAGAGCCTGTGGTCTGCAGAAGTGTACTGATACCTGAAAGCTTGTCTAAATCTCTCCCAACCATGCAGCTGGTTCAATAAAATATATCGTCCATGGAAACTCATGTATTTCCTGGACCATCATAACTACATCACTTCAGCAATACCAAAACGTTACAAAAACTCACTTCCTAGCTTACTAAGACTTGACTCAAAATATGTAAGGAATTATTTACGTTGATTTACAGTTTAACATACACTAACTGGCTTTGGGAAATATTTTCATGATGAGTGTTTAGTAGAAATTTTGCTGGGTATTTTTGTTTTGAAGCTGTTTCAATGAGTTTTGAGCTTGAAACAACGAAATCAAAAAGAAACGAAACAAAAGTCTTTGAAGCAGCTTCAAAATGAAATGAGAGCGCTTGAAACGTTTCGAAAGTTTTGAAATGTTTCAAGTTTCAAAGTTGGCCTTGCCTGGCTTCAGTGCTAGTCCCAGCTGGCAGCAGCAGCCTGCTGTTATCCCACGCGCAGATCTGGCAGCCCATACCCCCCACCAGGAGGAGTCTGGCACAGCCCTGTAGCCCTCCTGGGGGCTGTGGGTCCCCAGATCTGCGTGTGGGATGACAGCATGCTGTCGCTGTTGGCTGGGGCCAGCGGCAGCAGCAGTCTTCCCGGTGTTTGGCATGGGCTGCACCCAACACTGGTGTCAGCCGGCAGTGGCAGCCTCCTGTCATCCCATGTGATCTGGGGGCCCGCACCCCCAGGAGTCTGGCACAGCCCCGCAGCCCTCCTAGGGGTGCGGGCCCCTGGACCTATGCGCTGGATAACAGGAGGCTGCTGCTGCCACCTGGGACTGGTGCTGGGTGCAGCCCAGCTGGGAAGATTGCTGCTGCTGCTGGCTCCAGGCAGCAGTGGCAGCCTCCTGTCATCCTGCAGCAGCAATCTTCTTGGTGCTGGGTGCAGGCTGCACTCAGCGTAGGTCCCAGGTGGCAGCCTCCTGTCATCCCACACGCAGATCTGGGGGCCCGCAGTTGCGGGGCTGTGCTGGACTCCTCCTGGGGGTGCGGGCACTTGGATCTATGTATGGATGACAGGAGGCTGCCGCTGCTGCCAAGTGATTCGAGTTTTCCTTTCAACTGTTTGAGGTGCAGTTTCTCAGAAACCTCTTCACCTATCTCCTTGAAACCTGGCAGGAGTCGACAAAACAAAACAACAAAATGAAACACTGTCCCTTTGAAACAGTGACATGGAAGTCAAAACGAAATGGTGCTGTTTCGCAGAGCCCTATTTAGTGGGTATGTTTCAGTCATGGGATTGTAAGGGTTGTTGAAGATTATCCAGTCCAACCACCTGCATAGATGCAGAAAAGGCTATTCCTAAACCATCCAAGATAAATGGCCATATAGCTTGTCCTTGAAAACCTCCAATAAAGGAGATTCCAAAACTTTCAAGAGCTGCTTGTTTTGCTGTCCTACATTTTTAGAGGTAGGAAGTTTTTTCCTGAGATTTAAACTAAACCTGTTTTGCTGCAGTGTAAATCTATTGCTTTACATCCCACCCTCTGTGAGAAGGAAGAACAGTTGTTCTCCCTCTGCATTATAAATAAAAGATCAATTAACATGGTCTACTGAAATGCTGCAGACTGAGTAGTATAAACTAAAGAATAGGTATGCATCAGACAAAACTCCCTCTGGTGGCTAAAAACTGAATGCACTATTTTTCAGAGCCTCAACTAGGCTTTCACATTACAGACAATTGTTCAAATTTTACTGGATGCATTTTCTTTAATTAAATACACAACAGCAAAAAATCCCATATATTGAGGGGTAGGGGAAAAGGGTGAACCAGACATGTTTCTGCACCCTTCTCTATACTTTCCTTTCTGCAGAGCCTGAGTCAGGTGTTTGTCTATCCATCATTCAAATCTCATGATGCAAGTCGTACAAACATTAATTCATGCTACTATGGCCTTGGCAGGTGAGTGCCTCACCTTTCAGTTTTACAAATCAATCATCAGTTCCCCAAATATATGACAAATTACACATGAGCTTTGACTTGCTGTGATAGCAATTTAAAGCCTGAGCAAACAAGGAAACCTTTTAAAATGCAGGGCTTTCAGTTGAAAGCGAGGAACATTGGCTGCTGACAGATGTGGAAAAAAACCCAAACTAACCCAGCACTTTACCAGAAGAGGCAGCGTGTTAATTCGACCCAGCTCTGCAGCATCTGTATAGACTGAATTTCAGCAGGGCTTTTTGGCACTTCAATCAGCTATTAGTTAAAAACGCCAAAAAAGCCCCACTGAAATACCTGATCTATACAGATGTTGGGGAGATCCAGGTCCAACTAACGTGCTACTTCTTTTAGGCATGTGCTGGGCTTCGTGCAGGGACGTGTGGAGTTTAAAGTAACATGCCTTTTTTATGTCAGTAAGCAGCCACAATGCTAACAATCAAACTGCTCTTTTTTAAAGCTTGATGCTTAAGAGATTAAATGGTTCTCAAACCAAACAGTGCTGGCATCACTCTCACTAGGACTGGTATCTTACTCTGTCTATGACTACTGCTTCAGACATATCAAGAACAAACTTTTCCCTCAAATGTCTGGATTGAATGATACCAATAGGATGACAGTAATTCTACCCATAAAACTAAATAGTGAATGGTTAAGGGGATTGTTAAAGCATTACAGTTCTTGGTCAACAGGCTGGATATAGATAAGGCAATTCATACACCAAAGCACTTGGCAAGACCCTGGACTAATGCATAACTCAGAAGTTGCCATTACTGGAGATACCAACTTAAAAATCTGCTAGGGGTATTGAGCATGTAAATTGAGGTAAAAGAATTATATATATGGAATGGGTAGTATTTATAAAGTACTCAGATTTTTATTAAGAGGTAGTGCTTGGGCTTAATTCATCTAAACTTGTGGGGCCCACTGAGAACCATCCGAGATGGTACTGTTGTAAATGCGAAGATTTAGGACTTGGAGAAACTTGAATGTTTTGACCAATCCTTACTTTCAGGGCAAACAAATTACCATGCTTAATATAAGCAATATTGCTATATTCTTTTAGACATTTTTATTTTTAAAAAGTTTTTAAAATGCATCAAACATGATCAATATTTTACAAATTTCAGTAGACTTTTCACTCGTTATCAAATCATACCTGTTAAACAACTGATAGTACACACACAAATAAAAGCTGAAGAATGAAGGTAGAGTATTATACAAATCTAAAATAGGATATAGATATAGAAATCCCAAAGTGATTGACTAATAAAAATTACACCGTTTCCTAAATAGGAAAGATAAACATCCACCAGCAAAACTTTACTGAATCCATAGATTTAAATAGTTCCATTTTAGCTAATAATCTAGCATCCTGAGGGATCACGCTAGATCAAAACTATAGCTTTCATGAAGACAGTAAGCTGTTCCACTGCTTACAATTGGACATGTTAAGCCTTTAAAAAGACTTCACAACTTTAGCCATAATGACTTAATCAGAGATGCTTTCCTGGATCAGGGACTAAACTTGCTCATCTTATCAAAAGAACATCACCCATTATTTTTGCCCCACAAATTTTTTTTTCATGAGCAAGAAGCCAAGTTAATGGGGTGTGTACATCTAGGACTGGACTGTGCCTGATTTAAGAGGACTGGAACCCTGTTTCATGTGCAGTCCCACTGATCTCAAAATGGTGCACTGAAGCAAGGTGAAGATGTTATGTTCATGGTACTGCCCAATTACAATCAAAATATTAATCTTTTATGTCTATCCTATTAATATTAGGTCCCAAGGTTTGAAGAGATAATCTGATACATTTGGGATCCATACTTCTCATTTAAAAGTAAGCAAGCTAGGTGAGGAGTTACCGTAGCAAAAGACACCTCTGAATAGCCTCAGGTAAACATACACAGAGGTATGGACAACAAGGATGGTTACAAATACAGCAACTAATCATGTCTCTGATATCAAGAGATAGGAAGACTGGAATGCATCTGACTAGATAGATCCATCGCATCAATCAAAATTAAGCAGCGGTTTCTATACTGTCTCTTCCCCTCTGATACAGTGTGCCACACATCAAGTCTGATTAAGTTCCATCTCAATCAATATAAAAGGCAGTCTTCAAAGAAACACCGGTGTTATGCCTTGTTTTACTGTGTTACTGGCAAGGCAACATTGACAGGCACCTGGCTAGGCTGTGGTGCTGGAGAACCACTGTTCATGGGCTGCTGAGAAACAGCAGCTGGCTCCATTTTGCTGATATGCGTTATGAAACGCAAACGGAGTTTCAAAGCTGGTCTTAAATTGCAGATGATTTTCTCAACCTATAAAATAAAAGAGATAGATCACTCAAATGCATTGTGTAAACAAAATACTGTGACACACTTTTCTACTGTATGAAGGAAATGGCAGTATAAAACAATGTCGAGATAGATTTATGGTAAATACCACATAAACAAATCCCTGAATCTCTATTCAGAACCCCTCCTAAAGCCTCCTTAGTCTGCAACTTGCAACCAAAGCTATGTAAAACGTGTTCAGCCCAGATAAGCACTGCACTGTCTCTTTTTATTCAAGAGCCTACCACTAGCCTAGATTAGATTTAAAAAAAGAGAAAGGCACAAGAAGCTTTATGGTGAACTTTGTGTGATTTAAACTTATCCAACAAAACCAGGTGAAATTTGGTCATCTTATTTGAACCAGAAATTCACAATAAAAACTTGGGAAGCATGGACTAAAACAGAATAGGTAATATCTTTAAGTAGCAAACTATAAAGTGTTTACATAGCTGCATCCTAGTGCCTTCTCCAATACAAAACAAGTTCTATTCAGAATTTCTTTGCTGTCTGAAATTTATTTCAGTATAAGCTACATTATATGGTCCATACAGCTTTTAACTATGAAAAGTGGTATATATACCTGGATTTTAATGTATGCAAGCCAATCAGCTGTGAAGGGTTTTGATGTGCTTTTACATGTGAAAGCATAAACAAAAATACTATGTTATAAATTGATATATTAAAAAGGAAATTTCCTTTTATCATCCAAGTATGTTCTTTACTTACTTGATCTTTCACACTGTCACCAGTAAACATGTACTTCATATGATACAAGAAATCACATATGGGATCCATGTAATTCAGATGTGTACTGCACTGGTCCACATAAAGAAGCATTTCATAAAATGCCACTCCAATCTGTTTCCATAAAAAGAAACAAAACAGAAGATTAGACAACTGTTAAGATTTTACGTTTAGTTTAAGTTTATTCTTTTGTGAAGGAAAAACTCATTTATCGTGAAAGAAAAACTAATTTACATAGCTCTTACTTGAGCCTCTATTTAAATACATACCTACCATCTGAGTAAAGAGATGCAACTCTCACCTCATGACGCTCACTTTGGAAATGCAGAATAATTTAATAATCTTTCAAAAATCCTATTTATAGTACTTTGGTTTATTTTGTATGAAATAACCAATTTTTTTTTAAACCAGGAAAGTATAAAGCATGTGTTTAAGACTTATTGACTATAATGTGCTTTAAGACATGCAGGCGCGATGGAATCCCCTCTAGACATGCATGGGATCTGATGCAT